CCCTCCCTCCCCACCCAGCCCTTCCCTGCACAACGGACGGACGGACACAATAATCCCTGTGGGCTGGTGGAACCAGGTGGTTCCTACCAGTATTAACTCTGCTGTTGTTGTATCCTCAAATCTTGTAACTACATTTTTACCCACTTCCCAATGTGGTATAGACTGCAAACTTGGTATACTTATGTCATACTGATGACAATACTATATTCTATCATTAAAATAAAAAACATATTTTTAAACATAATTTTTTTTATATGTTATGTTTCATCTTCGGTCTAATTGTCCACGCTCAACTGACTTAGCCTGTAAATCACCACGGCTCCTTGCGTTATGGCAAGCTTCGGGGCCACTTCCTGGAATCGTGGAGTTCATCCATTACTCGTACGGTACATTTCATTAAAGCGTTTTTTTTTTTAAGTTTTTTTGAAATATTTCCCCGAACAAAAACACGCACTTTTTATTTTCCTGCTGTTGACCATCCTACAAACACATCGAGGAATAAACACACGAATATTATACAGGGCCTCATTTCGAACAATCGCAAAGGAAAGCACTCGCGTGTGAAATAATAGCGGTGGCAGACAAAGGCAGACTGGGGAGGGAAGAGCGGTGTCACTTGGGTAACTTTTGCCCTCCCACGATCCACGCCGCTTCCACGACCTCACTACGTCTTGTCCGGGGTAGTGGCATACTCACGCACGCGCGCGTGCACTACGGCCACGAATAGCTAACATACAACACCGCGACTTTCAAATTGCTACCACTGTGCACTAAATTCGTCGAGAATGCGCAAAACCGCGACAAAAAAACGTCCGCGAATATTAAGAATGCACCGTTGCAATTTCTGTTTAACGTGACACGGCCGCGCGATTCGAAATTGTTTAATGTGACAATACTGTGCACATTCCTGCTTGTTTTATCCACATGTGTTTTGTAAACATCCACACAAGAGGTCAACTAGGCATATGGATTTGGGCCACTTCATAATTGTTTAATAAGGGAAAACTGTGTATATTCTTTCTGATTTTATCCACATGTGTTTGTAGACATCCATACGAGAGTTTAACTAGGAATCTGGATTTGGCCCACTTTACACGTATTTATGTATTCAAAATACATTGTGCATTCTAGTGCAGTGAAACAAGAATGCAATAAAAGATGGTTTTGCACGCTGGACTCACAAAACCCAGAGGGTACCAGTTCGTTCCGTCTCCCGGTGCGTCAGTTGAAACCAATGGTGCGTGTTTCATAGATTCCCCTCCCCCCCAGTCACCGCTGATAGAGTTTGATCGGCAATTCGCGTGCGGTGGGACAGAGTGTGGGTCCTCCCACCTCATCCAAAACTTCCAAGCAGAGTGGAAGTTGCTCTCTCAAGGGGCTCTTCCAGAGCTCCCTCGAGTTGGCGGACCTTCGACCAGCAGTGGCGTGAGCAAGCAATTCCAGGACCGCACGGTTGCCCTTTGACCTTGCCATTTGATTGATGGACATGGCACGCTAAACGCTCGAGTTAGAACAATTCGCTATCTCACGGCGGCGATTCGATGAATCGTCACATTTCAATGTCGCTTCTCGAACATATTTTCTCATTTTCTGTCGCGAATATAGCCCGCCGCGAGCAAATGCGAGGGCTCATTTGAACCCACTGCACGCAAATCCAACGAATGTACCGTTGCGCCGCTGTTAAACGGCCTGTGAGATATAATTTAATGGTAATTTAATGTATATATATATCGTGCCTTTCATCGAGGATTTCAAAGCGCCGTACGAGACTCAGAAGCAAGCGCTCAGCATGAAAACAAAAACTAAAATGCATAGCAATAACATTAAGCCAAAAGCCATGTTCTGAATACCTAATCGTTCCATAAGCGGTATAGGTAGGTTTAAAGACGGTTTTTGAAAAATGTCCACAGACTCGGACAGAGATCCTGATATTTCAGTTTACTCTTTGACATCTCACCAATCTCACATTTGGAAATGCATCATCTGCCATTATATATCCACTGCCGGATGAAGGCCTTCCCCAAGCCATCACCATCCCGACCCTGACATCTGTATGTTTGGAGTTTGTGTGTTCTCCCCATGGTCGAGTGGATTTTTCTCCAGGTCCTCCAATTTTTCCTTCCACATTTAGAATCAACATCACGCGTTTCGAGTATTTGGCCGCTATACATTTCCACGTGACAAGTCACGTCGTTGAGTTATTATTTCTGGTAAGGTCGCTTTTGAAAAAGAGCAATATAGCTCAATGGGCCTTTGCCTGGTAAGACAAAACAGGTCAAATACAATTTACCATGGCCAAACTCCGTCTGGTTCCTGCACAAGATCTGATTTTATTGCTCAATCTCCGCGGTGGAAAAAAAAAACGATTCCGCATGTTTACCTCCTTCGAATTCTCCACCTTGACTGCCACTCGGTCATTCGTCTCGACCACTGGCCATCATCCCTGGCAAGGGGCGTGCCATACTCTAGCCTGCTTAACAAAAAAAGATATACCTGGAGCTGAAGAGTAAAATATTAATAATACATTTATCTATGTGGCTACGTCTTCTTGGTTCTTTCGGTAAAGTCACGTAGAAGGGACAGACCTGTTCTTCGCCTGAGGACGGCTGCTTGCATTGTGGCCGAAACGTCGTGAGAATTATTTTATTATTATTTTTTTTATTATTTCCCTTCTACGTGACTTTGCCGAAAGAACCAAGAAGATGAATCCCTGCAGTCGCGAAAGCTTTAAATCGAAATTTATGTGGCTACGGTTTCCGAGATTTTATTTTTGCGAAGAGGTCATGGATTTCACTGGGCCCTCACCTGTTTAAATAAAGGACACTCCTCAATCATTTGGTTTCTCCCGCTAAACAAATGCCTTTATCTTCTTTGGGTCTTTCGGTAAAGAGGAGGAAAGCAGCTTTCCTTCTTTTTCCTCCTGATGACGATCGCTTGTGTTGTGATCGAAACGTCGTAGTTTTTTGTTATTTTCTTTGAGCCTATCTACGTGACTTTACCGAAAGACCCAACGAATATGAATTCCTGCAGTCACGTAAGCTTTGAGTCAAAATGCCTTTATCTATTCATGAATTCCGTATCTGTAGATGGGACACATTTGGTATTGAATGGGTGGTGGTAGTGTTGGTGGTGGTTATGGTGGTGGTGGTGATGATGGTGGTGGTGATGGTGGTGATGGTGGTAGTAGTGGTGATGGTGGTGGTGGTGATGGTGGTGGTGGTGATGGTGGTGATGGTGGTGGTGATGGTGGTGATGGTGGTGGTGGTGATGGTGGTGGTGGTGATGGTGGTGGTAGTGGTGATGGTGGTGGTGGTGATGGTGGTGGTGGTGATGGTGGTGGTGATGGTGGTGATGGTGGTGATAGTGGTGGTAGTGGTGATGGTGGTGGTGGTGATGGTGGTGGTGGTGATGGTGGTGGTGATGGTGGTGATGGTGGTGATGGTGGTGGTGGTGATGGTGGTGGTGATGGTGGTGGTAGTGGTGATGGTGGTGGTGGTGATGGGTGATAGCAAGAGTTGCACAGACATATGCCACGGACGATGAACTATTCTGATCACTCTTCGACGACACAGGATACCATGTCCGTTTATATCAACTGGTATGAGCTCACGTGAAATGTGGATAATTAACAATTACAAAATGAAACTATTCCCCAGGTGTTATGAAATGTTGTGAAAAACAGTCACCGGATCCCATTGATGCTTGCTTCGCATGTTTGAAATGCAAAAGAGATTTTCTCTGTTGAAATTAACTTCCGTGGAATGTTTTTCTTTATTTGTTCCCGACCATGATGAATTGACTTCCGTGGGTTTAAGATTTTTTGTAGCAGCAGCAGCATCTGGATTTGGTTAAAATCCAGATGTGATATTTCTGCAGGTGGAATGAAGGTAGCCTGTCTGAAGAATGCGACTACGATAACACCACTGCCACTTATTTTGTACACGAAAGCAATCAAGGGCCTTGGCTTTGATGTGGCCATCAATTACTTCGGTAGTTAATGAACGACATCGTTTCAGGAACTCAGTTGCTTGTGAGCAAACATAAAGTGAATGCCCGTGGATGGTACCTTTTTGCAAGTGACATTTTGGGAACGTGCCGTTATCATAATAATAATTGTCAACACATTTACGCCTCCATGTAAGGAACGAAACGGGAAGACTTCTCCACAAATCTGGCTGTCGCCTAATGAAGCTAGTTGTTATTACTGGCTAAACGTCGTACTCAGATTGTAAATGTTGTGGCTTGGCTCTCCAACACATCGGTGTGCTATACTAGTATACTACACTATACACTACACTATACACTACACTATACACTACTACACACTACACGACTATACAGTACACTACTATACACTCCACTACTATACACTACACTACTATACATTACACTACTATACACTACACGATACACTACACTTACACACTGCACTATACACTGCACTATACACTAGTGCTGTACTAGTGACGAATTGCCACGTTCTGTTTACGTGACAAACCTTACTAGTTGGCTGTGTCGGGTGGTGGCGGGTTTTCACGACACATTTATATTTTTACGCGATCTAAGCCAAAAACCTCTATTGTGAATAATTGTTTGTTCACATTTACAGGTTACCCCCTTAAAAATGCCCCCGTGAAAGAAAACAACATCAATTATCAGCGCGTCCCTCTGGAAACATCGCGGGGTGCTGCTAATTTTTTTTCCCCCCCAAAAAAATCGTGGGCGAAACTCCGCCGCTTGCGTCTTGAGAACGCGTTCAGTGTCACATCATGAACCGCGCTCACGCAGAGACCAACGGCTTGTTTATTCCTGTGTGTGGTGGTCGGGGTTGGGGTGGGACCTGGGTGAAACTGTTGCGAGTCGGTGTTAACGGAAGATCGGCGTCTCTTACCCCCCCACACCCCCCTGCCTGCCTGCCTGCCCCCATCTCCACTACGCATGGAGCACAGCCGCTGCTGTTGGCGTGCGTCACAGCGCAAGTGCGTCCCTCGGCACGCGCCGTCCGAAGAAACCCCTCCTCTTCGCTGGAGCCACGACTTGTCCGTTCGTGGCTCGAGGTTGAGGGTTGAGAGTGGTGGTGGTGGGGAGGTTTTGTCGGGGGCTGCTGGCGCGTACGAAAGGCGACGATCGGAATCCCGGCGGAAGAAACTCGCGCGCGCGCGAGAGAGAGAGAGGAAGAAGGGAGCCGTGCGAGCTCACAAGAGTTGGGACGCGTCGATACCCCGGCTACTGCGGGAGCTGTGTTTGTGTTAGCGGGAAGCCCACCAACCCCCCCCCCCCCCCCCTCGGCCATGAGTGCCGAATACTCGGCTGCGTCCCGCGCTTAAGCGGATTTGAAGCGAAGGTAAGCGTCTTTATTTGTTTCTGTCTCCTTTGCAAACCGCGTGCGACGGAGCGAAGAAAGGGCGTCGATTTGCGGTCGGGTGGCAGACGGAGAGTGGCGATTGCCCCGAGGTCGTTTCGCTCATCTTTGTTGCGTGCGGTCAGGGAATGACTTTGTTGGAATGCACGCACGCGAGGTTAGCTGGGATATTGCGAGGATTGTGTGCTGGAAAAGTTGCGCAAAAACCTCAAGCAGCTCCCGTGTGTTTCATTTAGCAAATCAGAGCATGGGTACGCCGGTGGTCGACTTTAACGCGTTGTAATGCATTTTAATACCGTGGGATCGTTGAAGGCATCACATTCAAATGTCTGACAAATCCACGGTGGGCATCTATCATGTGCGTATGGTTCATGTAGATATCAGAGCCTGGTCTGCAACTCGAGATGATGAAAACAAGATTTTGGTCAGGAGGTGAAACATTTAGCATTTCGATTTAGCACTGTTTTGTTCTTTTTCATTTGCACCGATCCTTGAAATGTCTCACCGTCAGACGTTATTTACAATCGACAGATGTGCACTGAACAATCCAACGTGACCATTAAAGAGACAGGAATGCAGGGTTTCCGAACGGTTCTCTCAAGGGACGAAAATAATCGCTGAAAATATTCATGATAAAATGACGAGTCCTCGGAAATGTTTAAGAAAAAGTGATAATTTAACCAAAAGCTAAAAGTGATTTATTGCTCAAATGAGCATTAAGACAGTCCTCATCGTCCGCTTACAGCCATAAGCCAGTGGTGTAAACTCGACGTTCCTATGGCTGGGGCGAGTCTATCCAGGGGACAACCAGCGTTAATGTCACCACTAAATGGTAGTCAATTTATCAACCCTGTAAAGCTGATGGGCTGAGTCTACCCTCAACGAGGGTTTGAAAGAGAGCCAATTTACTCTACGAGGCCAAGTGGATTGAAACGAATGGACCTCCTTAAATTACGATTCATTTTAACAGTTCCACTTAAGTTCGTGTTCTTTTTAATAACATATTAAAAAACTTTCACCTATTAATAGCGAACACTTTCAAGGTCACACAGGACATGAATGCGAAGCGTGAAAATTGCTGACATAGGTAATGGAGTACAGTATTTCTTGATGAACATGCACACCTGCTGTGCATACATACAAGCTTCCTAAGTGCAAAAATCAATGTTGACTAATAGTACCAATTTATACGCTCAAAATATAGATCTGAGTTAGTTGCGTACAATTGGCAAAAAGCGGCGACAATCAACGACCTTAACGATAGCCATTCATTCTTGGGTACGAAGCTCATGAGGAATACTCTGTTAAGTTGTCTATTATTTGTTTGGCTCTTCCTTACTTGAAATTGTTTTTGTTCGCTTTCATAGCCCGGTGCTGAAATGCCCAGCACTTCAATCGAGCGATGCATTGAAAAACACCCTTCTCGTGAATATGTCCAGACAAAGATCCCCAGTATAGCCTTAACACATTTTTGAGGCAAGTGCTGTTTGCGAGTAGCAACCTATGAAGGCCGGCACGGCACACAACGGGGTGGGTGGCCAGCACCACGCCCGGCCGTCTTTGTCTCCCTAGTTTGCGATGTTTACACTCCGCACAAGGTACTCATTTGAGGCTATAGCGAGCCAGAGGAGGCTCAGGACCGCTTTAGATAATCGTCACTGGTTGTTGCCGTGAGCAGGGATGGAACTCGGGTCACTGGGTTTGTAGCGGAATACCACAACAGACACACACCGTTTTGTGGTCTGGAATAATGTTGGCATGACAAGGACGTCACATCGTATTTTATTCCAGAGATTGTTTTTGTTTTGGGGGTGGGGAGAGAACACAAATGGATAGAGCACTGGGTTTGCTTAACTTTATGAAACGTGTCACATTAAATTGTGTCGATGTTCAAGTGCTGAACAAAAACAAACATGAAATGAAATCTATCATGACTCCTGCTTCATAGGAGCGTACGTTTTTAAAGTAAGTTAAACCTACGCTTTTGGCAAGTGGTTAGGCAGGTAGGCAGGTGAGCAGGTAGGCAAGCAGGTGGATCCTCAGTTATTATCATCATCATCCCTGATCGCTCCACTGCTGGATGAAGGCCTCCCCAAGCCACTGCCATCTCTCATGATCTCACTGTGTAACATTCAGTCGCGTTCCTGCACGCCAGCTGATCTCATCGCTCCATCTCTGCGGTGGTTGTTATCTCCGGCGCATTCCCTCCGTGGGCTGCTGCTCCATTCTTGGTCTCGGCCATCAACCATCGTCCCCTCAAAATATAAGGGAGCGAGCGCCTCTCCACCGCGTCCGTTCACGCACTTTTCAGTCGATTTTAATGTATTTTTCAACGGTCATGTTTCTGATCCACATGACACAACAAGTAATACTGTATATATATTTAAACTGATGGCAAAATGTTCTTGATGAGGCATCCTGGGCTAATTGAGTTTCATGATTAAATTCAGTTTTAAATGAGAAACCTCCAAGCTGCTAGAGTCCACCTCTATCACCGCGCCGTTTTCCTCTCTGTCTGCATTCGATACCTCTCCTCGGTAAAGATAATCCCACGCGTTTCCCCAACGTGACACTCCAACAGATATCGATGTGCATTATTGTTTTTAATTTTGTTCGTAATTATTATGACCCTGACTTAGTGAAGCCTCCATTGCTCGTTTTTTATATTTTCTCCTGTTGTTAATGCCCATTAAAATGTGGTCAAGACAAATGCCATCTGGGAATGTGCTCGGTCAGTGTTTTGCTATATATTTCAACCGTTTATATTTATGCATTATTTCTCCCAATTAAAATTTCGAAGAGCAGAGTAACCACACGATAACAATTGCAAATAACTTTGACAGGCTTAGCCGTCCACAAGACAGGTCAACGGTACATTTTACTGTGCAGGTGGCTCCTGCATCAACATTTCCAGTTGAACAATATTATCCATGAGTGTTTGGGTTAGGTCGCATAAATAAGAACATGTCGTTAAAACCGCCACCACCCGACACGGCCAATGAGCAAAGGTTTGGCACGTAAGCAAAACATGCCAATCCGTTACTAGTTCAGCACACTGGTGTGTTGGAGAGTGAACCCTACAACATTTACCATTTGAGTACGACGTTTTTGTTGGTGACTACAACCAACTTTTCCAGAATTGTCAAAAAGTCTTCCTGTTTCCAGTCTTAAATAGAGTAAGGTGATGTCATCGCTTTGTGCCTACGTCATAAGCATGTTTTCTTTACGTGACAAACCTTATTAATTGGCTGTGTCGGATGGTGGTGGGTAAACAATATATTTATATGTACGCGATCTAACCCAAAAAAAACATTGTCGTGACTTAAAGCTTTCGTGACTGCAGGAATTCATAGTCTTTGGGTCTGAAGTCACGTAGATGGGTTCAAAGAAAATAACAAAAACTACGACGTTTCAATCGCAACACAAGCGGTCATCAACAGGAAAAGGGGGTTATCTTCTAAAGGCAAACTGTTTATAAAGGTTTAAAATGGGCATAGCCCAAATGTCAGCAGCATGGGCGGGGCAGTTAATGTTAATGTGAGTGGTGGGCAGGTAAAAAATTAGCATGTCAATGTAAGATTGGTGAGTGGCCTCCACGGCGAGCGCGCTGAGGTGGCTATGTTAATGTGAGAGATGAGCATGCTAATGTGAGAGATTAGCATGCTAATGTGAGAGATTAGCATGTTAATGTGAGAGATTAGCATGCTAATTTAAGATCGCAGAGCCGCCGCCACATCGAGGTCGGCACGCGGAGGTGGCTGTGTTGGTGTGAGACATTTAACCGGTTGATGTAAAATCGGAGAGCCGAAAATAACAACTGACATCGGAAGGTGGCAGGATGGGAACATCGCAGCCAGTTATGACTTAAACTCGTTGATAACGTCCTTCCAAAAATTGCCAAGCTTGTACCCGTCTTCTCGGTTGAAATTGTGTCTGTGTATGTATATATTGATGGCTTCATGAACGAATCTTTGCTGATAGCCAGTGGGTTTGCAAAGTACCTTAGTCTCGGAAAAATCAATTTCGTGAGTCCACAGCGTTAAAACAATGATCAGCCACGACCGAGGTATTGGTCATACAATGTTTCAGATCTGTCTTATGTTCACAAACAAGGTCCGAGACATGTCACTTAGTTTCCCCAATGTAACTACTGCCACAGACACAGCTTAGTTTGTAGACACCGGGGTATTGCATGTCAGGGATCACATCCTTCACAAATGGGATCAGATCACGAATTGTATGTACTGTGTTAAATCGAACCTGGATGTTGTATTTGCTCATGATTTGGGAAATCTTTTTGGTGACCCCTGCTATGTGTGGCAAGGTGATGGCTTTCATTGGGTCCTCAGATGGTTCTTTCCCAACGGTTCGGGTGATAGCTTTACGTATTGTGCATTCTGAATATCCATTCATCTTGAGAGCTTGGTGTACGTGTTCCAGTTCACTGGCTAGGTGATGATGGTCGGAAATACAACGAGCTCTATGGTGTCGAGTGTTGATAGACATGACGACAAACCGTACATCAACATTAGCAGCACCAATTATAGATTTGAAGCTTTTGTGACTGCAAGGACTCATATTTTTAGGTTTGTTTCCGGTAAAGTCACTTAGGTAAAAAATTAAAATTAATAAAAGTAAAATAAAATAAAAATCACGACGTTTCCTTGTGTTGCCTCCGAAACGTCGTGATTTTTATTTTATTTTACTTTTATTAATTTTAATTTTTTACCTACGTGACTTTACCAGAAAAAAACCTAAGAATATTAGCAGCACCGCCCAGCAAAACAACAACCAGCTGCCCGGCAAATAACAATAAAAACGCTCGCGCACGCGGCATCGTTGCAGGAGGGATGGCCAACGGCACGGCGAATGCATCCGAGTCGACGCTGAGCCGCGACGAAGAGCTCGCCAAGGTGGAGATCGCGATCCTCGCCATCATCCTCTGCGTGGCCGTGGTCGGCAACGCCTGCGTGCTCCTGGCGCTGCTCAGCACCAAGAAGAAGACGTCGCGGATGCACCTCTTTATCATGCACCTGAGCATCGCCGACCTGGTAGTGGCCTTCTTCCAGGTGCTGCCAGCCACGCGCTTTCCGGCGTGTTCCCGACTACCCGTCCCTCGGTGTCATCGCAAGCGTGTGCCCACCCCTTCCCCCCCCGCCCCCCCCCCCTCTCTCTCTCTCATCACGTGTCGCTTGCTTTTGAACAACAACGGCGGGCACCGCATCGCGCAGCGCTTTTCGGGTGCGCTTCTGCGGCCGTCTGGAACGCTCTTGCTTGCTAATATTAGGAAGCCGTTGGGGCTGTGCAGTTTTACATTATCCAAGTTGAAAACTCACTTCTTGAGAACTGATTTTGGTGTTTAATTTATCGTCCTTCCGCCACACCTCCAATTATCACGGTTGGCTACATACACATGCATTATCTACCCATGGCCACGACAGTGAATAATAAATTATATCAAGGAGTACAGACTATCATGCAAACTCCGGTTATCCTTGCAGCGGGAGATTTCGGCTCACCATCAAACAAAGATGGCCACTGCATCACACGGTGCTTTCAGATGCGCTACTGCGGCCGTCTGGAACGCTCTTCCTTCCATAAATCAGGAAGCCATTGGAGCTGTGCTGTTTTGAATCATCTGGATTGAAAACTCGTTTCTTGAGAAATGCCTTTTCGTGTGTTTAGTTTGTAGTCCTTCCCCCGGACCTCCGATTAGCACGTACGGTGCAAAAGAAGTTCAACATACGTACATACAATGTTCAGTTTTTATTTCATATTAATTGCCGATGTCCATGTTCCTGACCCACATGAGGTCATACGGCGGACGCTGCCTCAGTGGTGTAACGGTGAGCACACTGGACGTGCAATCCCCAAGGTCATGGGTTCGATTTGATCTCCTGGTTCGGCAGTTGAGGCAGCGGGGGCAAGTTTCTTGAATGCCCCCCACCATCTCCACCTCTAAACTATTAAAACAATTACAAATTTTGGTTTTTAATATTTTACCAGGTAAGGCCCACTGAGCTTCATAGCTCTATTTCAGAAGCGACCTGGCAACCACAAATGATAACTCGACGTAGTGGTTTACCACCATATGGACATTTCTAGCTGCCAAATACTCTAAACGCGTGATATTAATTCTAAATGTGGAGGGAAAAACGGCCTATTCAAGAGAAAATCCACGCGACCACGGGGAGAGAGACACGCAAACTCCAAATATACAGCAGGCGTCAGGGTCGGGATCGAACCCACGACCTCCTGTATACCAGGCGAGGTAGTCAACATCTTGCCACCATGGCACCTCTGTGCAGCCAGCAGTATAAAGGGGTACACGACAGATCGTAGATCGTGTGTGGTGGGGTAAAGTGTGGGTACTCCTACCCAGGGGTCAGTGCGACGGGACTGCTGGTGTGGGCCTTGCACTGCCTCATGTCCCTTTGTCCCCTGCAACTTCTAAAACTAAACTATTTTTTATTTTATTTTACCAAGTAAGGCCCACTGAGCTATACAGTGACCTGGCCACAAATGATAGCGCAACTGAGTGCTTTATCATAGTGTGCAAAATACTATGAACGCACTTTGATTCTCGGGAAAAACCGGAACATACAAACTCCAAATCTGCAGCCTTCACGGTTCGGGATCGAACCCACTACCTCCTGTATATCAGGCGAGGTAGTAAATATTTCGCCACCGTTGGCACCCCTCGCTCTTCCCCATCATGTATTACTCGGTAGAGGGCTCTATTGAGTTATCTCTCTCGTGAAAGCCAGTCTGCCAGTTGCAGTCCTGCACCTTTGTCTTTTAAGAATTAAACGAATTGTTTTTATGTTCTTCTTTAGGCATAGCGGTGTGCTGTTTTCATTCAGTATTAAGTCCAATTTACCAAAAGCGCTTCCAATTCACTCTCATCCACATCTTTACTCTTATCGCTGTCTTCCTGGCTCACCTTCAACAACCGTCCTGGGCACAAACACAACCCAGGCGAGTTCTCCCAAAATCAAGCGTCTTCAATAGTTGAGCGGCCTCATTGCACGTGACAATTATATACCCCTTGCGCCCAGTCGTCTTGGCCGTGACCTTTAGGCCATTCCTCTTCATTACCATCACAATTGCTAACTTCTCGAACGTTTCTGCAGGTGCTGCCCCAGCTCATCTGGGAGGTGACCTTCCGCTTCAACGGCTCGGACATTCTGTGCCGCACCGTCAAGTACCTGCAGATCCTCGGCATGTTCGCCTCCACCTACATGCTCATCATGATGGCCATGGACCGCTACATCGCCATCTGCCACCCGCTGCGGACGATCCAGCAGTCGTCGACGCAGTCCTACCTGATGATCCTCGTCAGCTGGCTCGTGAGCTTCCTCTTCAGCGTCCCGCAGGCGTACATCTTCTCACTGCGCGAGGTGCAGCAGGGCACGGGCGTCTACGACTGCTGGGCTGCTTTTGTCGAGCCGTGGGGGCTCAAGGCGTACGTCACGTGGACCGCCGTCGCAGTGTTCGTCGCGCCCGTCGTCGTGCTGATCTGGTGCTACGGCATGATCACCGCCGAGATCTGGAGGAACATGCGGGCCAAGACGGAGAGGCGCGGCGGGCGGGAGGGCCGCCCGCCGCCGAAGGGGACGCTGGCACGGTCGTCCGCGGCGGTGGCGCCGCCGGCGGCCGCGACGGCATCGCGGGTCAGCTCGGTGAGGAACATCTCCAAGGCGAAGATCCGCACCACCAAGATGACCTTCGTCATCATCGTGGTGTACGTCTTCTGCTGGACGCCGTTTTTCCTCGTCCAGATGTGGTCCGTGTGGGACGGGTCTGCTCCCTTTGAAGGTACGCTGGCACCGGGCGCGTTGCCAATGGAATGTACCGTGAACAAGATAAAGGTGCCCGCTTCCGTGTAGCCTGCATGGGATATTGGGCAAGAGCTGAACTAAACTGACGTTCTGACCTGCCCCTAATGGACATCTATAAAAAGAGCTTTACAGCACATCGGATTCCTCCGGTATAAATATTCAGATTCTGACCTCTAAAATTTCGCTTCAATTTTGACTATTTGTCACACAGCATCAACCGTATATTTAGATGACGAATATTATAAAAAAAAAAACTACGATAAACTATTTTTATTTTACCAGGTAAGGCCCACTGTGCTAGAAATTTCGTTTGTTGTTGTAACGTTCTGACCTGGCCCTCCTGGACACCTGTGAAAAATATCTTAATAGCTCATCGAGTATAAATAAATATACTGATTCTGATCTAACTCTTTTTCAGAAGCCACCTGGCCACATATGATAGCTCAACAAAGTCGCTTATCACGTGGAAATATATAGCAGCCAAATACTCTGAACGCATGTCCACGTGACCACGGTGAGAGAGACATGCTTACTCCAAATTTACAGGCGTCAGGGTCGGTATCAACTCCACAACCTGTAGACCAGGCAAGGTAATTAACATTTCGCCACCGTGGCGCCCTACAGCTGTCAACGAGCAGCAGATGGCAATGCAATCTATTGTTATAGTGTACCCCTGTGCTCTTGCATCTTTGCGCCTTGCGCTCACCAACCTGCACTGACCAGCGTGGTGAAGTATGGTGAAGTAACCTTCACGACGTGCACAGCGGGGGGCAGGCACTTATCCAGCAGTGGACTGACATAAGAGGGCTGTGCATGTGCATAGGGGGCCAACACTGCACACAGGAGAGAGTTTTTTGGACTCTCTTTCCCCCAGTACTGGTCACGCTAAACAGTTGCACGTTTAAGGTTAAGTCGACTTTGGGAAGGCGAGGTTTTGGTTAAGTTAGATTTCGCCAAGGATGACTTTTGCCAGAAATTGAATCCAAGTCTCTGGATATTGTGGTGCAATGAAAATGACAATATGATACAATTTGTGCTCATATCGTGTACACATGCAACAGTATCTCAAGATGCTCACACGAACCACCGAGACCCCACATTAGCCACCTTTACCCCAGGTGAACTCTGCAAACAATATTGCCATTATACGAACACCTTACTACACACGTACACACGCACACGTGCTCTGCATGCGATGACGTGGAGAGTGAAAGAACTTCGTTAAATTATTTTAAAATTGAATTGGGTACATTATGGTCTTCTCAAAAATGAATGCTGGATGTGTATATATAAAATATATATATACCAATAAAAGTGAGATCTGTAATTTTAAAATAATGATATTCACGTCTGTAAGTGGATTCTCTTCTCATATGAAAGCTCTGGCATATTACAACGAACACGATCATGATGATATATATGCAATGCTCTATTCCTCGCAATGAACACTACATCAATTTACACTAAATTGGCGTATTTAGTGTTTATGCAAAAGCTGCCTTAGATCAATTGTAAGGGCACCACTCGTCAGTCTTTGGCAGATGCCTCGCAGGCTGCAGATAATTACTGCTTTCGCCAGTGAACAAGCTGCGCAAAGGAGAGATAATGGGAGTGTCCCGTAATGTTAAAGTGCATTTATTTCAAGGCACTAAACCTGTGTTGGACGTGAACGGGACGCCTGTCTGAAGATGCGCGCTCTGTAATGTGTCGCATGGCAGTCGCGAGAGTCCTTTAAAACTGCGGGGCTAAAGTTGAGCAGGAAAGCATTGCGTTCTGTGCCGCCAGTGATACAAATTACAGATGAGACCCGATGTCATCACGCGGTTGTGTTGATTCAGTGTCGTGTTGACTGAGCCACGGGTGACTCTGGGGGTAGGGCGAGCGGCTCACAATGGGCATGTTGTGAGTTCAAGTCCTGGTCGGTGAGCGGGGGGGGGGGGTTGACTCGGTCAATCATCCCTCCAAGTACACTAAATATGGGCACCATCTTCTTGGTTCTTTCGGTAAAGTCACGTAGAAGGGAAATAATAAAGTAATAAAAATAAAACAAAATAAAATAATTCTCACGACGTTTCGGCCACAACGCAAGCAGCCGTCCTCAGGTGAAGAACAGGTCTGTCCGACAGAAGAACAGGTCTGTCCGACAGACCTGTTCTTCACCTGAGGACGGCTGCTTGCGTTGTGGCCGAAACGTCGTGATAATTATTTTAATTTGTTTTATTTTTATTATTTTATTATTTCCCTTCTACGTGACTTTACCAAAAGAACCAAGAAGATGAATCCCTGCAGTCACGAAAGCTTTAAATCGAAAAATGGGCACCACTTTGTATGTTGACCTTCTTTTGTACCGTACGCAGCCAACCGTGCTAATTGGAGGTGCGGGGAAGTCAACAATCGTTGTCCTATAGATAGACCCCCCCCTCCCAATAACAATGTAGAATGTCCATCATAGCCTCAGGGTTTTAAACATGACATAATTCTCAATGCTTAACACGTACTTTATTTGTTTCAGGAGGTGCCATTTAGTGTAGTGGTGGGGTTCTGCAGGGGTATAAGCGGACAGGCCCCTATTTGAGTACAGTAATTAATTAAGTTTTCGTGACTGCAGGGATCCACGCTCTTTGGTTCTTTCGGTAAAGTCACGTAGGTATAAAATAAAATAAATATTAAAAATATGTATTTAATAAATATTTATTACGTAGGTATAAAATAAATAAAAATACTTATTTAATTTTTATTTTAAAATCTTTTTTTTTATTTTATACCTACGTGACTTCACCGAAAGAACCAAAGAGTAAAGTAATTAATTTGCCTGTAAAATCCACGAAGTACGATCATGCTGTTAAGCGGTGGCATGTGGAGAGTTCAGCTCAGGCAAGAGTGTTGACCGGTGCATGTTTTATCAATTACCAGAACCACATGTTCTTAACAGAGACCAGGTGAACGTTCACGACCAGAATATGTGTTTCCATAAGCCCCACTTGGGGAGGGGGGAATCTATGCAGCAGACATTGCACACATGACCTGAACTCAATATTTGCCGTGATCGCGGTGTCAGATGCATGGCTGTGTTTCACTGCTCCAGAATCCAAAGATACAGTTTCGGGTCACGTTTTAGCTTTGTCCAATCACCAGGTGTATTTAATAGAGACAGCACGATACGCATGTGTGATCGTGAGCAATTCGCGCGGTGCAAAACATGTGCACTCTATTGCAGAAATTGCCACGTGGAATTCGGAAGTGGTGCCGCAGAGAATCACGCTTTCCTGGGGTGATAATGGTGGGATTTTTATGCCGCGCAGGGGAATTTTGCACAAAATAATAATTTCGTGACTACCTGCGTGCACCGGCGTTGCACGACACGTACAAACACAGCAGAGGAGAGCACATTTGCAAAAGTAAGAGGACAAACACGCAAAAAAATACATGAAAAATAAACAACCTTGTAATGACCCCAGTGCTGCAGCAATAAAAAAAAAACTGTCCGAGGGAAGGCAAGCATTTGCAAACGAAAACACAAGGACACACACACACACAGCGGAGACTCATGAGCCAATGATAAATAAATAATGTGGCACATGCCGGACTGCAGACACTTCCTACCATTTTGTTAATGATCCCAAAGGCTGGATTATTTCATTTTTTACGCGTGCTCTCTATGTATATACATATATGCAAAGGCGCACCCCTGCAATTTCCTGCTGACAGAACCACTGTTGGAAGATCCTCAATTGGAGAGCACTCCAGAGAGTCCCTCTAAGGAGGCATTTTGGCCTACTCTTCCACGCAGATCAAGGCGTCTAGGAAGCCACCGGAGTTCCCACGTCACTCTACCTAACACAATGCCAGAGCATGTCCCCGGGGCAGGAGCTCCGTTTCACTGCCTCCCCTGATATACATTGTCGGCAAAATCACCAAATCTGGTCTTCAGGCCTTCAAATGCCGAGCACACACACACACGGGACATCTCCTACCCTCACCGCTAGCCTCGTAGGGACTGAGTCTTTGAGCTGCAGCGAACCAATGATTATGTCCGCAATGGCGACCTGCCAACCGGCTAACTGGGGCGTGTCCATTCATAACTTCTGGGTGGATTTAAGAAAGCCGCCCACATGGTTAAACTGCCACACCGGGATATCGAATCGGACCGGCGGCTCTCTGCATTGCAAGTGCCGTGTGCTAACCATGACACCGCAGCGGCTTCCCTGCACCAACCGTACACGTCTTGAATATCTTTTTTTTGTATCTGATTATTTATTAAAGTGCAATCGTTGTATTTAGAATCACGCGGCACGGTTATGAAATGGGCACACGGATGCAGTCGGGTAGCTCATAGCGCCGCGTGGGTTCCACTGAGATCCTGGGAGCAGATCTGGGTGGCCACTAGTGATGAATCTGGGCGAATTGTATGGAGTTGATAGCTTCACTGTGGTCATCAAAAGCTGCACAAGAAGAAGGGGGGGAAAAAAACATCAAATAACAATATGCACTTAATTTGGTTAAATAGCTGCTCTGAGAATAAAAATAAATTATCAATGCTCTTGGTAATGCGATAAAAAAGTTTTTTTGTTGGCACGAGTTTCAAATTGATACCTCGTCCCGTAATGATGCTTGGACTCACGATGATAAAATTGACAAAAATACAAAATCCCAAATGAAAGTAGCGCTCGGGAGACCACAGGACCATGATGCATTGTGGATAGAATCCGGGAGGATGTCGCCAACGTTGTAGAATAAATAACCCGTAACTATTATGAATGCATCCACAATCCATCGATTTTAGACTAAGTTAAAGACATTATTTTCAGATTGCATATGAATAACTCCAAAGAAGTGGAAAAAAAATGTAACCGTTGAAAAGAGAGAATTCTCAAACGCAGTTTTGCCTTTCACGTTTGGGTATTTCCGATATATTATTTGAACATAGCATTTGGTCCGCAAGCACTTCTGTACGGAGTGATCGTCGCATAATGATCTAAAATCCTCATTCTCTCTGTTGCCTCCAGATACTGTCCATGCGAGGCACTGTGTGAATAATAAATAGTGAAGTTGACGACTAAAAAACTCCAGCATACACAAAACCCTTCACTATACACAGAACACTTCACTATACACAGACCACTTCAGTGTACACAGAACCCTTCAGCATACAATGGATACATACTATACCTCTGACAGCTTAACAAAACTGGATTAAATACAAACTCCAACTTATGTAAGAGTTAATTCGTCTCGTCACTCATGATCAGGATGAGACACACTTGTTACACAAGACTAATCCCGCTCAATCTCAGGTGGCAGCTCAAAGTTTTAAACTCAGAATCTCTGAGGATTTAAACCGTGTAGCTTCATTGAATGACTCATGTCAATCATGATGTTATATAAGGGACGAGCTTTACTACCCGGCTTCGCCCGGGACTTGGATTCACCACGCCCGGCCGCCTTTGTCTTCCCAGTGGCAATGTTCACACACCACAGCAGTTACTTGTTTGAGGCTTAGTCCACCTAGGGGAGGCCCAGGACCGGTTAAAATAATGGTCACAGGTGGTGGCCGTGAGCGGGAATCGAACTCGGGTCGCCGGGTTCGTAGCGCAACGCGCTAACCACTACACTACAATGCGTTACGCTTCCACGTGTGCGGGTCACGTGACAGATTTGACGTCACAGCTCACTTGCTGTGCAAAAAATAAATGCATTATCGAGGTCCCCCCCCAAAAAAAACAACAACAAAAGTGTATTTTTATAATTTTTGCATGGGGTACAGTCTGAAAGTACCCACATGGCATATTTCCAGTTTGTTGCATGTCGGGAAGTACGCTAAACATTTTGAACAGACATTCACAACTTTGCCTTTTATATATATGGAGATAGAAAGGCGAAATTTGGTACGAAATGTTTGTTATAAATACGACTATGTTATTTTTGTTATCAAGGCAATTGCTATAACTTACACAATACGACATATTTTAAACATTTTATGTTGCGACCTGTAAAAAAAAATCTGCAACTTGACTTTTGTTGCACAGCCTCAACTGTATATTTCGAAGAGAAATACTATAAAAAAAATATTATTAAAACTTTTGGTGTCATCTGGCCCAACACCACGTGAGACTAGGCTCTAAGAAAAGCTGTCTCGGGTGTGGACCAATCAATTTCAAGGACAGTGGATACATTATCAGAGTTGTCTTTTTGATTGCATTTTGACCGCAAGTGTTGTGGTTAATGCAAACATGATTCCTCGTATAAAGGTGTCAGTTTTGTTGCCAGGTAAAAGGGTAAAAACCTATTACTACTTCTATGAAGTATTTTTTTTTACCAGGTTAGGCCCACTGAGCTACATAGCTCTTTTTCAGAAGCGACCTGGTCACCACAAATTATAGCTCAACGAAGCGGCTTATCAAGTGGAAATTTATTGCAGCAAAATAGTATACATGCGTGTTTCTAAATGTGGAGGGGGGAAATATTCCGTCGCACGCTCTGTTTTAGGCTCACCCATAGCAGAGTTGCCACTCCGAGGCACAAAGAACGGGGACTCATCATGGAAATAATAATAAGAATATATTACAATGCCAGAAGGTGTAAGACTAAATGTAAATGTCTCAAGTGGTGTATGATTAAAACACAACTGTCAAAATCCTGAACTCTTCATGTTCTGGGAAGACTTACAGATGTCGCATGATAGCAGCTGCCTCAAAGGGAGACTGATCCTGGTAAAGCCATGCCAGTTGGAACCCTAATCCTTGGTGGCAGTACTTTGGAACACCTACATTTACACAGTCGGCTACCTCACCAACCTCTCTCCTTGTTGATCCTTTGTCTCTTCCTTTCACAAACCAGGGTCGGCGTTCACCATCGTCATGCTGTTGGCGAGCCTCAACAGCTGCACCAACCCGTGGATCTACATGTTCTTCAGCGGGCATCTCATCAACGACTTTGCGCACTGCATCCCGTGCTGCGCAAGCTCGCTGCGTCGCCTGCGAACGACCGGCGCTGGCCACAACGCTACCAGCCAGCGCAGCTCCACTCCGCAGAGGCACCGTAGCATCACCCTGAGCTCCTGCAGCCAGAAGTAGGATGCGGGGGGGGGGGGGGATGAATGAAACTTAAGAGATGACCAGCCAGCAGCGGAGGCTTGTCTGGCTCTTACAGTTGCTCGTTTGAGCCACCATGGCCTTGGATTCTCTGGCGCTCGAACGAGATCGCAATCGGAGGAAGGCGGCAGTGGTCACAGCTGGACTCGTCATCGATTACCACGGAGATATCCACTGTGTTTGTACGTACGCAGGCAACGTACGTAGCCAAGCGTGCTAATTGGAGGTTCGCATGGTTAGTAGCCAACCGTGCTCATAGCCCCAGTGAAGCGCTCCTGCAGGGAAACTGCATGTCAATGGTGTGGTCACGGGTGATTGCACGAGGTTATTCGCTCAGAGGCTCCACTAGACCTGTTGAGACACATTTGGAACAATTTCAGTGAGGTCGAATGTCCTACTCGAGATCGTTGGACGTGGAACAGAGAAGTGAGGTTATATCACACGACCATGCCCAGACAACGAATGTTGCAATCTACTCTCTTATATTGAGTCCGGACTTTCCACAAACACCAAACATCCCTTTTTGTTCCAGTGGGATGATGCAAATATTTCTGGCTGCAGAAATCTTCCACTGTGTTCTCGTAATGTTCTAAACCCAGAAGCATTGCCACATTTCCAGATTTCATTGGTATGTTGTGTGCTTTTTCCTTGTCGGACTTATTTAAATACATTTTCGGGCTAAAAATAAAAAAGACAGATTGTGTTGTTTGTTGGTGGCGTTATCGTCTGAATGAACTGGTATTTAAATGCTCTGCTTTTTTTTTATTCAACGTTAATGATTGTTCCGTTTGCTGAATATCTTTCACCAACACCAAAAGCAGGTTTCCTGTTTGTGTTGGTTTACAGCATGAGTCTCACATTGCCAAACTTTGTGAAGTTCGGAGGGAATTCGGCTGTCTAAGGCTTCGTACCCCAATTTGGGCAGGTGGGGTGACATCGAATGGGGAAGCAGACCCATGAATCACCTTTGTTCTTTATTTAATTTTTTGTGCTCTGTTTTTCTCTGTTTTTATTGTTGGAGTTGCCACCACCAAGCAATGGACTAAAAAAGGAGGCCAGACTCCATTTCAAATGGTACTCTAGTCGTTGTGCACTTAATATCTAATCGTCAATGACATCGCCCACACTAGGCTATAACGAAACCCTCTGGGTACTTTGGTCTGGAGGGCAACTGAGTGTATTTGTTGAGATGGCATCAAAGGCAGCAACCACCGTGCCAATTCTGTTCGTGTCCCCTTGGCTACTAAATGTCTGGCTGAGATTTCGAGTTTCACAACTTGCAGTGGTTTAACACACATGCTGTGCCGTTACAGAGTCAGCCCTGCCAATTTCCCTCGTACTCACAAATCATTTTAAAGGCAACGGCAGCTCGTGTGTTGGACCCGAATACAGATCTGGGTTTGCCCCCGCTGCCACTAAGCTCGTGAAATGCATGGTCACCAAAAGCTATTCGCAGTCTGTAAAACAAACAATCCAATTGCAATGTTAATAGTTTACGTAATTTAAACAGTGTTAGAAATGTATTCAGCCACAAGCCATTGCTTAAGTCTAGTTGTTTCAAGGGAAGTGAGTAGCAAAAGTGAGATTTTTTTACGTATGATGCGAAAAATATGATAACGATGTTTGTTTGACGTTGATTCATGTATTGTAATGCAAGAGGTATGCATAGGTGGTAGTGGTCCAATATGATATGACGATACACACAATATATCAAAACCCTTTCTCAATCCACTGCTGGATGGAGACCTCCGATGCCGTGTCAATCATTGGGGTTTGTTTGACTGCACTTCACTGTGCTGGTCAGTGTGGGGAATGGTGGCACGTGGGTGCGATGGGCATCTTCTGGTATCGCTCACCACGATTGTTAATCCTTGGTTGGAATTTCAACTCGAAATATTGGGTTTGTAAGGCAGCACGATAACCAATGCGCTTCTGTTCTACCACCCCTAGGCATAGGAATGTGTAAGTTCCACCACTGATTCAGAATGAATATTGGTCTTGACAACCAGTGAAACAGAATATTTTTTACATGTGTGTGTAAATATATACATTGTGTGGTGAGTGTGTAGGTATTAATGTGATAGTAGTAATACACACATGAATGTGGGCAAGATTGATGTGTCACGTACGCTAATTTATGATCAGCTTATGCACTAAACGGACATTTATTGTGTTGACTGTAGTTGCATGAGTGTACTTTCTGAGAAATAAGAAAATATTTAACACTATGGTATATTATTGTGTCTATTTCCCATTGAATGTTTACAACTACAACAATAAAACATCAGTGTCACATCTATTCTGAGAAGGCGTACCAGAATCTATATTTATATCGAGACTGGATGTCCAGTCATCACAGATGTCCAGTCGCAACAGTCTCCACCGATATTAAAGTAAAAACATTCGAACAATAGAATACGATGTGTGTCGCAATGGCTTATGGTGAGCAGCCTTTGGGGCCGTCCATGAATGACGTCACGCACCTGGGGGGGGGGTCAGACATTTGTGACGATGTGTGACGAGGGGGGGGGTAGAAATGTGACGTCACATCAAAATGCGCAACTTTAAATAAATATAGACAACACGTTCTACTTAATTAAATAGACTTTTTAACAAATGTTTTCTCCTACAACATCAAAGTGCAGCGCCACATTAAATACGCACTACAATGACAATAGTTTAAAGCGATTTGAAGCATGTTTTATTTTTTGGGAGGGGGGGCAGAGCTTTGTGAAGTCATATTTGAGGGGGGGTCTGACTTTTTGTGACGCCGCGTGACAAGGGGGGGGGGGGGGTGGGGGGCAAAAATCGTCCAAAATCGCGTGACGTCATTTATGGACGGCCCCTTAAACGTGTGCCAGAAGCAAGATTACTTTGTTGACCAAATTAAAGTAAATCTTCTCGAAGCTAGACTTAATGGGCGTTAAGTATTTTGGCAATGGGCTTCTGGAATTTTGCAATGATTGCATCAATATAAATACCATACTTTCATTGTATTGATATCTAATCAATATAATTCATATATAGCGATCTAAGACAATTACTTAACACAATTTTGTAATTACAATTTAAATAGTGCAAATGAAGTAATTGCTGTAAAATTCGAATCACTAATCGTCAGCACAGAGTGGAGTGTAATATTTCAGGTTCACTGGATGTGGAAGGCTGGACATATTTTCTTACGAACGTGAAGCACTTGCATTCCCTATCCACATCCGACTCTCCCCCTCGCTTTCCTCTTTTCGCACTGGCCCTCAGGACCTATCTCTTTTAAAATCCTTTATATTAAGTTCACTTGCTTGCTTGCGCGCTTACGACCGTGCAAATCTTTCGGTCGTTTTTTAACCCACTTCCCGTGATCCAATCGAGCTGACATTTTGCACACAGACTCGTTGTGCGTGACAATTTATTTTCGTGAAAATCCAAAATTTTACACTTTTTAGGATTTTTTTTATATTTAATTACCAATTGCTTAATGGTGGCAGGTATTCAGCTGACCCATAGGTGGCAGCCATCTCAAGCCAGAGGACGAGAGGACTCTAGCCGCCACACATATAAAGGATTTATAGTGAAACACTTTGTTTTTACGGGTTAATTTTTTTCGACTGCGCTTTCCCTGCCTCTTCCACCACCCCTACCAGCACCACCTAACACCCCTAACGCCTGCACCGCCGCAGCGTCCACCTCACTCCCTCCACCCCTATAGTCCCTGGCGTAGCCAGTGGGGGAAGGGGGGGGGGTGGCACGTGCCTCCCCCCCCCCCAATGATCTGATCGAAATCCCTCATTTCAATCAGATAATTGGGGTTTATTAGTAATAAATCGGTATTTTGCGACCCTCACTGCCACTGTGTAGCATATTATTATGTGCCAGGGACTATATGAGATTATAGGACAATAATTGGCAATAAGTAACGGCAAAGCAGTTATAAGTGACTCACATAATTGTGCGCAGTTGCGTATACAGGACACGACTTCCCTGAAGGCATCAACAGCTTCAGCGAGCGCGATGCCGATCACACAACGCGGTTCGAATTCGACCCTCGATCGATGGCTGCGCCATTGCCGCTAAAGCGTCGAATAAAAAGCAAGGGACAAGTCCTTACTTACTAACAACTCCTTACTTACTAACAACTCCTTACATACCAACAACTCCTATCATTTTTCATTTCTGGAGGGGTTGCCCCCCCTCCCTACCTGAAAATCGTGGCTCCGCTATTGTCTATAGTCACTACCTGATCCCTTATCTTGCCATTTTGTCCGGTGGTCGGTAAGCATTGTCAAGCGCCTTGGTGAAAGGCGCTTTATACATCCAAAATAGAATAGGATATTAGTTAGTTGTAAAATGAACGTAAATTAATTGTGAAATATCGTTAGAGGGAATCGCTATTAGAGCGTGTGGAGGACAGGGGCTTTCCATATATCAGATAAGTTTGCAGCTTTACTATTGGGAGTGCACAAACGCGCACGCAAATCATTGCCATGAAAAAAGTACCGTGATTTTGCGCACATGGCAGTTCGATTTTGATATAATTAAGGTCATAGGGCACCTTCCACAACAAAGCCATCCAAATGTGCTTTAAAATAAATAAAAACCCGACAAACACACGATAAAACCATACCTATTCCTGAATTAAATTGTACACAACCAATGTATGTATGTATTTTAAACTTATTTTCACCGTATATTTAAAACTACAAATAAAAAAAAATAACTACACAAAACCTTTACCAAGTTATACAATGTATAACTTAATACATCCTAAGATGCCATCAAGAAAAACAAACCAATTGATGGGCTAAAAAGTCTCCGATTGACCTCGGTTAGGAGCTCCTGAGTTTGTGTGCCCCTGGGGTTTCAATATGAACTCGGGGCACAGGTAGTAGTAGCCCAGCATCTGTGGAATGAACACTATCTAGAGGGACACATACTATGTGGAACTTGTATCCAATTAAAAAATATGAGTTTAGGATTTTTCAAACAATTCGGATCATGTTTTGGATTTTCACTATCGTTTAAAAATTTAAACGTGTATTCGACGTAACAAAAAGTCGCGTAGCCCAATGCCACGGAAGCCCACTTTAAGTGGGAAAAGCAGAGAAATTGTGTAATGTACGGCATGTATGTATGCTGAACTTATTTTGCACTGTACGTAGCCAACCGTGCGAATTGGAGGTAATATGTGATGCTATTGCACATAATGTCATACTTTCAGGTCATTCTGAAACTAAATATCGTTTCGGATCATCCGAAATTTGTCTCGGTCAAGAAATCAGATTTCATTGGATTAATCCGAAAAACGGGAACACGTCACCAATGCAGTGTATTGCGTTGGTAATCGTTAGGCCAAAGTGTTGTTCAGTAACAACTAAATCTGCACCTTCCCAGTGGCATTATCCATGCTCAGTGTTTGACATCTTATTTTTTCATTCGCGGGAAGTTGTGTTTTTAATGGGTATTAGGTCAGAACAACTGTATCTTGATTATGTTGTAAATTGTACTTCATTGCTTTACATATACGTCCATTTTGCTTTGACTTAATTTCCTCTAATGTTGTCTAATTCTAAGCCTTAAGCCTCCAAACCGAACATTTTTTTTTGGTTTCTATAAAACGGCAGATTAGTGTAATACAGCACTGCCAGGTTGGCATTAACGTCAGAACACTATAACATACTATTTGCTGAGTGATCATGATACAGGAGCAAATATATTTATCATGAGTGCCAAGTGAACATAAATTCTGCCACTGCATTTAACTGTCCACGTTCCTTTGCGAAACTGTAATTTAACAAAAAACATCCGAAGAATGTAACCTGGCGAAACATTTTACAAACCCCCGGATCTTGCTGTTTAAACAATTCACGGGATGCCTTGATGATGTCGCAAATCAAACACATTCGTACACATAACGTAAGCACCAGCTGTTTGCACATTTACCTCGGAGGTCCAGGCTGCACTCTCTCTTATTCATCCTTCACAATCCACGAGATCTTTGTTTGAGGCTTAGAGAGAACCACAACGTTTTGGGACAAAGATACATGGCATTTTTCATCATGGAACCTCCTTTGCCAGTACCAAAATATACTAATAGGGTTTTTCCCCTTTTATTTCTGACCACAAAACTGACACCTTTTGCAAGGAATCGTGCTTACATTAGCCACAATACTTGCAGTCAAATGCAAAAAAAACAATACTCTGATAATTTATGCATTGTCTTTGAAACTGATTGGTCCACACCAGAGATAGCTTTCTTTAGAGCCTCGTCTCATATGGTGTTCGACCAGATGACGCCAAAAGGCGTCATCTGGTCGAACACAAAAGGGGACAAACCCTATTAATACATTGCATTTTTGAGTTTGCATTGTTCTCAGTTTTGCTCAGTATGGAGCCAGTAGCCAGTCGTTGCAAAGATATATGTCAGCTAAAGCAACCATCAGTCACTCTCATAGAGATCTGTCAGCTAAAGCAACCACCACTCACTCTCATAGAAATGTGTCACCACTCACTCTCATATAGATCTGTTAGAAATCGCGACTTTCATTCACACCCATAGACATCGCTGAGCTAAGGTGACCTCTCACTCTCACGTAGGGTCTCTTAGCTAAAAATGTTCACTCCCTGTAAAGTCACGTATAAAGAGAAAATAATTCATTTATTATTCTCTCTTTATACGTGACTTTACCGAAAGAACCAAAGAGTAGTTCCTGCAGTCACGAAAGCTCTAAATTAAGTATGTTCACTCCCATGCTGTGCACCAGCGCATACTGGGTCACTGTGCATCTGCCTATGTAGCCAGGAACCATCGGGGCGAGCCAATTCGCCCGTTAAGGCAGCCCCAACGTGCACGGTGTGCCTCTGCCCCTGCCCTTCACTGTAACCAGGCATTCCTCGCACTTAAACCGTCCACTTGCTAAGAATTACCTGGGGCCACGCGGCCACCGTTCGCTGAGACATGGAACGTCGCGTGCTCGTGTCGTGACTCGGGAGGGAGGTCGTGAGCCATTACGTTTACGGGTCCGCCCGACAAACAAACAAGGCCTCCTTCCAGAGAGACGCGTCGTAAAATGTTTCATCTGTGGATTTTAAAAGAACAAATGCAATTAAATGAGTATTTTCCGAGAGAAAACAATAACGCAATGCTTAAGTGTCTAAAATTCATTTTCAGAAGCCAAGCAATAATTCAGTCAAGAGCAGAGATGGTGTGTGGCAATGCTTTTAAAGTGTAACAAAATCAACTTTACTTTAAAGCTGCATGAATTGTTATACACAGACACACGTGGACACACTATATACACTTACATATAACAGTGCA